GGCTGGGGATTCGAACCCGCCACCTTAGGTGTACGTGGCTGGCGCCTTAGCCGGTTGAGCTATAGGCGCCGAGCCAAAAAGGATGAATTTTTAGTTTCAAGATTTTAGATTTACTAGAGACAGTCCATCTTAAAGTATGTCAATCAGGTCATACCAAGAGAAATATTTCTAAAGTGTTCTCTGTTAAAAAACTTCACAAATGCTTCTATTTGTCAGATCATTTTGCAATAGGTTGACTAAAATGTATCTATTTAAAAACCAGAAATAGGATTCCTGTGGTCTGCAGCCCTTCTGAACACCTATCTCAAAATGTGCCCAAGAAAGTATATTTTAGGTTGATCCTTGAACAACATGGATTTGAACTATGTGCACTTATACAGGAATTTTTTTCAACTAAAGATTGATCAAGGCTCGGCACCTGTGGCTCAAGTGGCTAAGGCACCAGCCACATACACCGAAGGTGGCGGGTTCGAATCCAGCCTGGGCCCGCCAAGCAACAATGATGGCTGCAACCAAAAATAGCCAGGCCTTGTGGCGGACGCCTTTGGTTCCAGCTACTTGGGAGGCAGAAGCAGGAGACTTGCTTGAGCCCAGGCGTTGGAGGTTGCTGTGAGCTGCAATGCCACAGCACTCTACCCAGGGGGACAGCTTGAGGCTCTGTCTCAATAAAAAAAAAAAAAAAAAAAAAAAAAAACGATTGATCAAAAAATACAGTATTTGGCCCTATCTACCTGGAAGGCTGAGGCAAGAGGACTGCTTGAGCCAAGGAGTTTGAGTGAGGTATGATCATGCCACTATACTCCACCCTGTATGACAGAATATCACCCTTGTGGCTGGGTGCCATGGCTCATGCCTGTAATCCTAGCACTCTGGGAGGCCAAGGCAGGTGGATAGCTTGAGCTCACAAGTTTGAGACCAGCCTGAGCAAGAGCAAGACCCTGTCTCTAAAAAAAAAAAAAATAGCTGGGCATTGTGGCAGGCGCCTATAGTCCCAGCTACTTGGGAGGGTGAGGCAAGTGAATCACTTGAGCCCAGGAGTTTGAGGTTTCTGTGAGCTATGACACCACAGCGCTTTACCCACGGTGACAAAGTGAAACTCTGTCTCAAAAAAAAAAAAAGTCCCTTGTCAGATGCTGAGCAGATTACAGTATGATGCCCTTGGACATCCCAGCCTCCGGAACTATGAGCCAAATAAATTTCTTAGAAGAAGGAGGAGGAGGAGGATGATATCACCCTTGTGAAACCTAAGTCCAGTCTTTGAGATATCTTCCAGATCCTGTATTTTGCTAAAACTGTTCCAACTAGACCAGTGGCCCATACCAAGAAACCCACTCAACTAGTCTTGTGACCTGGGAACTGACTCGGCACAAGAAGACAATTTCTGCCTCCCAACCCTGTAAGTTCATCCACAGCCAATCAGCAAACCAAATTCCCTAACACTTTGCCCACCAAAATATCTTTTAAAACCCTGGCTCCCAAATTCTCAGGGAGATGGATTTGAGAAATTATCCTTATCTGGAACCTGCAATATTAAACTCTTTCTCTGTTGAAAAAAAAAAACAAAACTGAAATTAGTAAATTACCTTCGTGAAAGAGTATATAGAATTATTTGGCCTTATACACTCTGAGGCTCTGGGAGGTGAAGGTGTACCCCGGCATTCTAGGTCATCACCATACAAGGTCTAACAATCCAGAAAAAGTGCTACGTACCTTCCTGCTGAATATCACTGTAGTCACCCTTGGGAAGCTATACACTGATGCCAGTGCCTAGTCCACCCTTCAAAGCAATTTAGAAACTCTTCTGGAACAGCCATCAGAGTTCTCATTGTATTACTATTTATGTCCTGAATGCCATCAAAATGTCTTCCTTTCAATATTGCCTTTATTTTCAGGTAAAGAAAAAAGTCATAAGGGGCCAAATCAGGTGAGTCGGGAGGGAGTTTCAATACAGCTATTTGTTTACTGGCTAAAAACTCCCTCACAGACTGGTGCATTGCTATGATGCAAGAGCCCTGAGTTGTTGGCCAAGACTTTCAGTTCAGATTTTCCTGTTTCTCTATTAATGTTTACTTGGTCTGCTATTGCTTCTCACAGTCAACCATAATGATTTTTTACTTCTTTCCATGTGGATTTTAAGGTAATCATAGAAGTTTCATTCAGAAGTTGCCTAAAGTCTTCCCTCTTCTTTTTAGTAAGAGTGTCAATATGGTAATTAGGTTTCTATTTCTCTTCTTTTTCCAACAAAGATCCAGATTCCCAGTGCTTACCATTTTGAAGAATCTTCTTTGAGAAGTGATGACACACCTAAAGAACATGCCTCATTAACTCTGAAGGATAATGCAGAAGGATCTGTTAAAAAAGTTCCAGGGTATCTCCTGGGGTCAGCATACCCCCTGTCCTATATCTAATAGTTTTCTCAAACACTTTTATTCAGATACAATTTGTATACTATGCATTTAAAATGTTCAAGTCAATGGATTTAACTATACTCAGAGGTTTTTTGGGGGTTTTTTTGCAGTTTTTGGCTAGGGCTGGGTTTGAACCCGCCACCTCTGGCATATGGGGCTGATGCCCTACTCCTTTGAGCCACAGGCACTGCCCTATACTCAGAGTTTTGATTTTTTATTATTTTTTATTTTTTATTTTTTGAGACAGAACATCAAGCTGTCGCCCTGGGCAGAATGCTGTGGCATCACGGCTCACAGCAGCTCCTGGGCTCAAGCGATTCTCCTGCCTCCACCTCCCAAGTAGGTGGGACTACAGGCACCTGCCACAATGCCTGGCAATTTTTTGCAGCTGTCATTGTCATTTGGCGGGCCAGGGCTGGATTGGAACCCGCCAGCTCAGGTGTATGTAGGTGGCTCCTTAGCCACTTGACCCACGGGTGCCAAGCCATATACTCAGAGTTTTGCAACCAACTCCCCAATCTAGCCATCGCTCAGAAAGGAAATCTTCATTCCACCTGCAACATAAGGCAATCACTCATTTTTCTGCTTATTCTGGAGCACATAAATGGAATAACATAATTGGTGATATTTTGTGATTGGTTTCTTTCACTGAACAGTATTTTCACAGTTCACCCATGCATGGAATATATTAGTCCCTCATTTCTTTTTATTGGCAAATAATGGTTATAGACCTAGGAGTAGAGTTGCTAGATCCTATTGCAACTCTGTGTTTAACCTGTTGAGAAACTTATAGTCTGTTTTCCAAAGTGGCTGCACCATTTTATATTCCCACCAGCAAATTATGAGGGTTCCAATTTCTCCACATCTTTACCCTTTTTAATTATAGTTATTCTAGTGGATATGAAAGGATGTCTCATTGTGATTTTAATTTTCATTTCTCTGATGATTAACTGTTTGGGGCATCTTTTCCTGTACTAACTGGCCTTCTTTTTTTTTTTTTTTTTTTTTAAGACAAAGTCTCACTGTGTGCCCTGGGTAGAGTGACATGGCATCCTACTCACAGCAACCTCAAACTCTTGGGCTTAAGCAATCCCTTTGCCTCAGCCTCCTGAGTAGCTGGGACTATGGGTGCCTGCCATAATACCTAGCTAGTTTTTCTATTTTTAGTAAAGACAAAGTCTGCCTTTTGCTCAGGCTGGTCTTGAACTCCTGAGCTCAAGTAATCTACTCATCTCAACCTTCCAGAGTGCTAGGATTATAGGCATGAGCCACTACACCCGGCCAGGCCATTTTTTAAATAGCAGTTTTTGCTTCTTTCAAAAACTGCTGTCACATCAAGAAACGTTTTCAACACTAAAGGTATGTTTTCTGTGCTGAGGCAGTTATTTTGATGCTTTTCTTTGCTCTCTATCACATACTAGGCTCCATCTTCTGATATTTTGGCCAAATACTGTAAGACTTGGTTTGGGGCTCCCCATTGTCAAACCCAAACTTAACAAAACACATGGGCTTGGCGCCTGTAGCTCAAGTGGCTAAGGTGCCAGCCACATACACCAGAGCTGGTGAGTTTCGAATCCAGCCCAGTCCTGCCAAACAACAATGACAACTACAACCAAAAAATAGCCAGGCATTGTGGTGGGCACCTGTAGTCCCAGCTACTTGGGAGGCTGTGGCAAGAGAATCACTTAAGCCCAGGAGCTAGAGGTTGCTATGAGCTGTGACACCATTGCACTCTACCCAGGGTGACAGCTTGAGGCTCTGTCTTAAAAAAAAAAAAAAATGGAGATGTTGAAAATCCTTCAGGATAATCCTATAGTTAAGATTTTGCTGAAGCAAGTGTTTTTTTCTAAGTCCTTCAGCTACATACTGCCTTGAGTAATCATCCAGATTGTATCCTTTTTTGTGGCTCTTTCGTTTCTTTTGAATTCTTCCCTTGCCTAATCCTTCAGCTATTTCTTTTGAATTCTTCCCTTGCCTAATCCTTCAGCTATTTGCAACCAGAATCCCTTGGAACTTGGCAAATTGCTTAGAAGATCCTTCTGTAGAGAAAGAGAAATCATTGCCTCCTCACCAACTGTTTTAGAGTTAGCATCCCTGGGGCTAAGTAGGAAATGGCCGCATCCGCCAAACAGCATCCCACTGGAACCTCAGTGCCGGAATTTATTATTCTAGATTCTTATACTATTGTGTTTTATCTGGCTGTGTTTTTTAGTTACGAGGAGAAATATGTGACACCTATATTATGCTGAACTTATTACTCATAGTTATTTATATTATTTTAACAAACTGAATGCAAAATAGAATTATAGTACATATAATGTGCAGCCTGCTCTTTTTCATTTAACAATGTACAAGTTATGGACGCCTTTCTCATCAGAACTAGAGCTTATCTCTACAGAGTACTGAAGGGCCACAGAGTATTTCACAGAAGGGTGCTGATTAGTCACCTATTGATGGACACTAAGGTTGTTTCCTGTTTTCACTACAACAAATAAGGCTTCAATAAATTTCCTTAGACCTCTTTACTCACCTGGAGAACATTTGTGAAGAAGAGATTCCTAAAAGTGGAACTGCAATATTGGGGGGTATGTGCATTTCAAAATCTTATCAATATTTCCAAACCATCCATTAAAGACAGCATCGATTTAAATTTAAGATGATGAGATCACATAGCCAACAAAAGTTCTGCGTCTGCCATATTTGAGGGTTTCTCTGGACTGGGACTGAGAGGTCATACAGATACATCTTATTTAATTTCATTTAGGCTTCTGTGTCCCCTTGATACACAGTGATATCACCATGTTGATTACACATCTTGCCTTTAGCCCAGGAAACGTGATCCTTGGAGCTAGTGACTTCTGCATATCCCCTGGTCTCTCCAAGCAGTCCTGATTTGGAAGGTTTAACTCCTGGATTTGGGTGGAAATGGTCTTTCCCACAACCAGTCATCCTTGTTGAAACTTCACTTCCTCTATGAAGTCTGCCCTGATCCTCTCCCCACACGCAATTGGGTTAGGTGCCCTCCTGAGAGCTCCGAAAGCTCCCTATTTATTCCAGGCTGATTGCACTAGGTTGTAATAGATGTGCCTGGCAACCTCCCAGAATGTCATGAAGATATAATCATAAGCAAAAAGAAAATAAACTTCCTTGTGGCTTATTATACACACACCTGGAAGGTAGAGGATAGGCAAACATGCCTCTTTTCCCACTGAGTCACCTTCTGAGTCCCTGCCAGATGGGTCCCAGAAATTCCTTTTCTCTAGGCCACACTCACTCTGCCTGTCCCTCCCTACATGGTCTAAGCTTCTTTCTTCCAGCACCTGCAAGATCAAGGCCAGAGAGACCTTCCCTGGCTCCATTGCAGACAATCAGAGTCTTCATGATCTTCTGTGGGACTAGGATTGAGCCTCTCAGTTCCCTCAGAGCAGAGCATGAGGTAACTTAACAAGCAATACTGATCCTAGCAAGGCTTCATGTTCTCAATTAGTCATTCATTGACCTCTGACTGCCAGGCATTGAGGATACCATGATAAAATGATAAAAATTAAAGACACTACGCTAAGCCTTTAGAAGAATTGGTCTTTTACTTCTCACAACAACCCTACTAGGTAGGTACTATTATTAATTCTCATTTTACAACTGAAATAAAGGCACAGAGAGGCTGAATAACTTGTCTAAGGACATGCAGCTAAGAAGGGGTAGAACCAAGCTTTGGACCCAGAAGCCCAGCTCCAGAGCCTACTCATCCCACTAACAGAACTACACCAGTGGTTGCATTTTAGTGGGGACAAATAATGGAAAAGTAAACAAAAAAGACACTTTGGTTAGAGATAACTGAATGCTATGGAGAAAGTAAAAGAAAATCAGGTTAATGGGATAAAGGCTTATTGGAGGAATGTGGTATTTTGGACAGGTATTTTTCTTTCTTTCTTTCTTTTTTTTTTTTTTTTTGAGACAGGAGCCTCAAGCTGTTCCCCCTGGGTAGAGTGCCGTGGCATCTCAGCTCACAGCAACCTCCCACTCCTGGGCTCAAGCGAGTCTCCTGCCTCAGCCTCCCAAGTAGTTGGGACCACAGGCACCCACCACAACGCCCGGCTATATTTTGGTTGCAGCCGTCATTGTTGTTTGGTGGGCCCGGGTCGGATTCGAACCCACCACCTTGGGTGTACATGGCTGGCACCTTAGCCACTTGAGCCACAGGCGCCAAGCCTGGACAGGTATTTTTCAATTGCATAAAGCTTTTAGAAGGTACAGGCCACAGGTAGTTCTCTGTGTCCTCAACAATGGGCCTGGTCCAAAGCAGGCACTACTAACTGTTTAGGAAGAGAGTGGGGAAGGAGAGGAGGCTTCCCTGACAGGTGCCTCCACACACAGAGTGGCCAAACCTTTGCCAGTGTTTGGCCAGCTGTGCTAACTTAGAATGAACCCTGGAATTGGGGCGTGGTTTTCCTTCATTGAAGAGTGGGTTAAAAACCATGCACCATATGGCTGGTTCTGGGATAAGTCTTCGGCACACGGGGTGCTGTCATCATCCTCCCTTTTCAGAAGAGCAAACTGAAACTCAGAAGAAGCATGCCCAAGGTCTCCCAGCTAGTCACCCCTGTGGCATCTTGAGAATTCATGGGGTGTTTTTGGTCCTCACAGTAACAGGAGCGGTGCAGAAAAGGAAAGGGAGGGACACTCCCACATAGTAAAGTATTATCCTCCCCCCAGCATGGTATTTCACAGTGCTGCTAGACATTCATGAAGGTTAAAAGGTTATTAATAATTACCCGAGCCTTGCCTTGGCGCCTGTGGCTCAAGTGGCTAAGGCGCCAGCCACATACACCTAAGGTGGCGGGTTCGAATCCAGCCCAGGCCGCCAAACAACAATGATGGCTGCAACCAAAAAAAATAGCCAGGCGTTGTGGTGGGGGCCTGTGGTCCCAGCTACTTGGGAGGCGGAGGCAGGAGACTCGCTTGAGCCCAGGAGTTGGAGGTTGCTGTGAGCTGTGGTGCCACAGCACTCTACCCAGGGGGATAGCTTGAGGCTCTGTCTCAAAAAAAAAATAATAATAATAATTACCCGAGCCTAGAACCTAACCTCATTATATGTCACAATGGAAAAATTATTATTATTTTTTTTTTTTTTTTGAGACAGAGCCTCAAGCTGTCCCCCTGGGTAGAGTGCCGTGGCATTACAGCTCACAGCAACCTCCAACTCCTGGGCTCAAGCGAGTCTCCTGCCTCTGCCTCCCAAGTAGCTGGGACCACAGGCGCCCGCCACAACGCCCGGCTATTTTTTGGTTGCAGCCGTCATTGTTGTTTGGCGGGTCCGGGCTGGGGGTTCGGAACCCACCACCTTAGGTGTACGTGGCTGGCGCCTTAGCCGGTTGAGCTATAGGCGCCGAGCCGGAAAAATTATTTTGATGCTATGCTCAGTGGTAAAGCCCACCACTCTCCAAGAACACCTATCTCCTCATTTTCTTCACATCTTGATGTGTTACCTTTAAGTTAAGATTGTTTTCCTCTTATCATCTGGTCTGTTATCATCCAAATCCTTTTTATTCGCATGTCCTTCTGGCTTCACTTTCATTTCCTGGATATTAAAGAACTTACAAATCACCCAAGTCAGGAAAACAAAAGCTAAATTTAATTCTGATTCAGGCAAGGGAGAAACACCAGCAGAAGTGTAGCTTCTTGTTAAACACCGGATGAGATTGGGTTGTTACAGGGTTTGGGGGAAAAGATGGAGTTTAGCATTGGGCTCACAGCAAAATGAGGTCTGAGTAGAGAATTAACATATGTCCTGAGCTGAGAAGGGCCTGTTTTCATTGGAAACCAGAGTTAAAAAGGAAAAGAAGTGGAAAGTTTTGTCTGCTTACCTCCCTGTGGCAATAGAGCAGAGCAGATAAAATGAGTGGGTAACCAAGCTATGATCTTTCTGGGCCAAGGTGACTCACTGGGTCCAGATCCTTCAGACAAGAGTGGAATGTTCCATCTTCATGATCTTCTTTTCTAAACTTAAAATTCATACAAATTCTAGCCAGGGCATGGTGGCAGGTGCTTGTGGTCCCAGTTCTTGGGAAGCTGAGGCAAGAGGATCACTTGAGCCCAGCAGTTTGAGGTTGCTGGGCTCGTGACTCCTGCATATACCTTGGTCACAGAAAGGTGTTGATTAGTCACCTTACTGATGGACACTTAGGTTGTTTCCTTTTTTCACTACAACAAATAAGGCTTCATAAACCTTGTATCACACTGCACTCTAGCCCGAGTGACAGAAAGAACATGTCTCAAAAAAAGAAAAAAAAAAAGTATACTAATTCCTTTCAAGCCAGCAATAGCATGTTGAAAAAAAATCATATGAATTCCTATTATATTCACATTTAACCTTAAATTCATACTAAGTCATAGTAAGTAGGTACAAACATCTGTTTGCCTCATTATGTATTCTACTTCAGTGTATCCATGTTTTGAAATACTTATTGTTTTATAATAAATTAATTTCCTCTTCTTTCTCCTTTCTATTACAGTGAGGGCACTAATACTGAGTTTGGGATCTTGGGGGGGTTTTGTTTTTGCAGTTTTTGGCCAGGGCCAGGCTTGAACCTGCCACCTCCAGTATATGAGGCCAGAGCCCTACTCCTTGAGCCACAGGTGCCGCCCATATATTGAGTTGTTTTGAAACCATGTGATTAACCCTTGTGTAGTTCTTAGTCTGTACCAGGCACTGTGAAAAATGCCTTTTACCTGTATTAGCTCATTTGATTCTCTCCCCAGCCTAGGAGGTAGATTATTATGATCCTCACTTTACAGAGGAGGAAACCAAGGCACAGAGAGGTGAAGTGACTTGTCCAAGGTCACAGGAAGTAGGAAAGTAGGCATCTGGCTCCAGAGTCTGCAAAAGGGACGTTTGGTGTGATGAGGTGGAAACCACTGATCCATCATATAGGGTCCCCTCTTCCCTCCTTCATGTCTTGAATCTGACCCAGAATTGGAGTGGGGGTTCACCTGTGTGGCCATGAACCCAGGCCCAAGAGGGGCACGTGGCCTGCTGGCCACGATCCCAAGGACTGTTTATGCCCAGATTCTGCTTCTTCCCTCCTTCTGTCAAGGGGCGGGGATCTCTGTGGAAAAACACCCAGCTGGGTGAGGGAGGAGGTGAGGGGGGCTGGGGCTCACAGGACTGACTCTTTTCCTCTCATGACTGGTGTTTACTGGGCTGGGTTCTGGGCAAGGGCCAGATTGCATCAGACGGGGCCTGCTGGGCTGGAGCCAGACTGTGGTCTGAGGAGGAGCCTTATAAGTTGGGGCGAGTGGACGGGGAAAAGAGAGCTACTTGGTCAGGAAACCAGATACAAAGTTTTAGAAGATGATGAGAGACAGCGAGAGCAAGCCGGACACGATGGTCACCTTCCTGCAAGCAACCAGCCCCTCCTGGCAGCCTGCAGGCCCTGAGGATGAGGACCCGAGCCTGGATGAGTACGACCTCTACAGCCTGGCCCATTCCTACCTGGGTAAGCCACACTCTGTTCCCTTCCTGGTCCTTCCATTGCCTGTCTCCTCTGGGGCTTCTCCCCAGGCCTTCCCCTTTTCTAGCCAGGGTGTTCCCTTGACCCCTTACGTCACCTCTTTCTAATAACCTCACCCACATTGGGGTCCCCCATTCCACAGATGGGGAAATGGCTGGCCAGCACTATGTCACCCCAGTGCTCCTGGTGCCCTTCTAGTCTCTCTGCTCTTTCCACCCCTGCAGCCCTGACCACCTGCCTCTCCTCTAAGGCCTCTGCCCACTTTCCCTCTGACTCCTACCCTGGCTACAGGAGGTGGAGGCCGAAAAGGTCGCACCAAGAAAGAAGCTGCCACCAACACCAACCGCCCCAGCCCTGGCGGGCACGAGAGGAAACTAGTGACCAAGCTCCAGAATTCAGAGAGAAAAAAGCGAGGGGCACGGCGCTGAGATGGAGTTGGAGGTGAGAAGTCAGGGAGGCCCAAGTGCTCTGCTTTCAGAGGACAGGCTGAGTTTGTGCTGTTGGGCAGGGAAGAGGGATCAAAGAACTGCTGCTTCAACATGGTAAAATGAGACATACTTTTGGGTCTGAGTTTCCTAGTGACCAAGGCAAAGAGGGAAAATGTAGAACCTCTCCAACTGCAGAGAAATTTGTTTTAAAGACAGATAAACTGAGCCAGAGAGGTCCTTCCTTGGAATCACAGAGCAAGTGAGCGGGAGAGGCAGAATTAGAACCCTTGTCTCTGTCCCTTTCACTACCTGTTTTCCCTCCCCCCAGATGAGGCCAGACCACGGACACCACACCCAGCAATGCAGACAGGACTACAGAGGAATAAGGCTCTGGGGATAGGATGCAGGCCTGCTTGCCCCACCCCCTAGCCCAGGACTTACCCCACTTGATTGAGTCGCTGAGGGGTTGCCAAGGGAGCACCATCAACCCCAGCAAGAGAGCAAGATGGAAAGCAAGAGGCAAGGAACTGAGAAGTGGGGGCAAGAAGGCACCCCCAGAAAAGAAAGCCACCGAGGAAACCAGAATTCTCCCTGGTGGCTGCCACAATAAACAAAGTACAGCAGCTGCAGCTTATGTATGTGTTTCGATCTCTGCTCTTTGTGTGTTTTCATTTGGGCTTGATTCTGCCTGCATGTGCCTGTGTTTGCATGAACCAGTGAGAACATTTTTGGTGTGTATTTGTGTTTGGTGTATGAATCTGGGACAGGGAGTGTTCCTGTTTTTGTACAGGCGTAGGCTGTGAACCTGTTGTTTGATTTGTTTGTTTGGTGTTTTTTTTTGTTTGTTTGTTTTGTATGCATATACATACAGTATTTTGGTGCATACGCTTCTGTGGTTTCCTATGGGGTACAAAGGAATTTCCTTTGTTTCTTTGTAACGCGGCTCATGAAACCTCTCACATTTTTACTGATTATGCCCTATTCATATAAAACCACCAACCCCCCCCTTTTTTTTAGAGATGGGGTCTTGCTCTGCTACCTATGCTGATTGACTACAGTGGCTTGATCATACCCTATTGCAGCCTTGAACTCTTGGGCTCAAGTAATCCTCCTGCCTCAGCCTCCCAAGTAGCTGGGTGGGACTTTGAGCCTGTACCACTATGCCCAGCTAATTGCTTTTATGTTTTGTAGAGACAAGAGTCTCACTACATTCCCAGGCTAGTCTTGAACTCCTGTCCTCAAGTGATCCTTCCATCTTGGCCTCTCAAAGTGCTAGGATTATAGGCACAAGCCACTAGGTCCAGCCTAAAATCACATTTTGAAGGGAATGTTACTTATTGGTGCAAGATAGAGACAATTGAGACTTAAAATATTAAGGGACCTGTCCTAAGTTACCCAAGGGCTCATATTCAAAGATTCTTATTGCCCTTAAGTATGAGGTGGATCCCCATGCTACAATGGTTGCCAGGAATAGGGGGTTCTAGGAGGTCAGCTGGGGAGGAAGTTTCTTATCCAGTGTTATTAGTCCCAGGACAAGAATTTGAGAAGAATGTGGGGCAAAGGATGTGCTGGGAGCTAAGAAGATGTATTGATTGAGATATAGGTTTGGGCTACTGTAATGAAGAATCAAACAAAACAGTATGGGAAGTTATTTCTCACTTAATAGCTCCTAGGGTAAGTACTCCTGGGCTCAAATAACAAGTTGGGGAGTCCAGCTATCATTAGCTCATTGTTTAGCTCAAAACATGGCTTTCACTTTCAGGTCCAAAATAGCTGTCACAGTGCCTGCCATCACAACTGCACCTCCGTCTGTGGAGTGGGAGGGGGAAAGAAACCAGGGGAAGCCACACCTATTTATTTTTAAGGGCAAAATCTAAAAGTAGAATACATCACATCTGCTCTGAATTTAGTCATGGCCACACCCAACTACCAGAGTGGTTGGGACATCTAGTAATTACTTAGCCATGTGGGAACCAAAACTTGTGCAAGGGCATGGTTTTTTTATTAAAGGAAGCAAAACAGTGAATAGTGGAAGAAACTAACAAGAAACATTGCCCACATGGAAATTCAACAGAAGTGGGGAAAGAAAACTTCTAGGTCTGGCCCTGGACAGAACCCTTTCCTTTTCTCCTATCCCTTCCATATAAGCCCCAGACTGCAGAACTTGGAACTAATGGTTGGTTCTTGGGGACCCAAGTATATCAGCAGAGGACTGAGAGATGTGTTGGAGCAGTAACAGATGCACAGCAGGGTATGACCAGCTGGAACCTTTAGGCACCTCTGTCCACCCACCTCCCCTGAGCCCAGTCTAATAACAATCATAGAATCCATGACTGGGAAAGACATTAAAAGACCTGTGCCCGGCTCGGCGCCTATAGCTCAACCGGCTAAGGCGCCAGCCACGTACACCTAAGGTGGCGGGTTCGAATCCCC